ATGTGATATACTCTGTAATGTAACCTAACACCTCGCGTTAGTTTCACTTCTTTATCTTAATTAGCTTTAGAGATATATCACATTCAGTAATAGTCAAGCATACGGATATTTTGCTCTCTATCTCAAGGTCAAAGCGGAAGTCGGTCGCGAAAAGTACATAAATCGTGTTTGAACATCAAGTCGATATTAAAACATAAGTTTCAATATCGATTCCCATTTGAGGGCCGACTCGTCATACGTATCCGGCTAAACCCTTTCAGATTTTTAATATATTAATTAAAAGGAACGGAAATGAAAGTCTTTGGTCCATTCGTTTCCTGCAAAAATCAACTTTTGCTAGAGTTGCTATCTAGTAGAGGTGCTTTTTTAGTGATTTCTTTTTTTTTTTTAATAATTCTTCCTAAAAAAATCTACCAAGGGATACAACGATATTTCGGAAAACACACATATATAGATATGTGTCGCCCAAAACTATCAATATCAAAAAAACAACGATAGCGATTTCGAAAATACCACTTAATCGAAACCTAGAATCTAATGAAGTCCAAAGAGTAAAAGTAAGTATTGACCAAATTTTTGAACGGTTAAATAAGCCTTTTTCAATGTAGCTCAGAAGAATCTAATGGCAACAATCTCGATTTTCCATAGAGTATAGTTGTTTCTGCGTATGCGGTGTCGGTAAAATATTCGTTTGGTATTTATATTTTCTTGACTACACAACATGGTATAGAACTAAAAGACAAAATTTCTTATTGAAAATTTGTTACAATATAAGTCACAGAAATCCTATGAAGATTGTGTTTAATAAAATAAAGCCCATTGCTTTATTTAATTAAGCTTCAAAATATAAATATTTATTTTACAAACTAAAACCACTAGAAAAAGTAAATAGAAATCATAAATAAATAAAATTGTGAAGTGAACGAGTTAAGTATACTGACAAACTTTAACTATGGGTGCAATACTGAATTCACGAAAAAATAATCAGCTGTTTCATACAATAATACAAAATTGTGATACCTACAATCGCCAACAGTATTTTTTTTTTTTTGTTTATCTTTAGTATCTGTTCTCTATTAACTTTTTATAGTGTAATTCAAATTTTTAACTACATTGTATCGAAAAGAATTCTAACTAAGTGTTTCATTCACTTCTTATTTTTAAATACAATGGAATTAAAAATATTCTTTAAAAGCCTATTTCTTTGCGTGAAGCGTTGGTTTTGTGAGTGCCAGTGTTCGTGTGAGTGTGACTTTAGTTAAGGAATCTAATAGGTGGCAGGGCTTTTCAATAGATAGTTCAAAAAGTTGATTCAGATGATTATCTTTTCCTTGTGTATTATTCTTCTCTGTGATTATAAAAAAAGTAATATGGTTATTTGATTTTTCATATATTTATAGTTTTGAGGCAACTCTATTATTATTATTTTTTGCAAACGAAACGATTTTTTGAACGAGACACAAAAAAGGTTAGTTCTCGAAATCAAACTAGATGTCACTAGCGATTTCCGGATAATGACTGTGACATTCATTCAAATTTTCTTTCTGACGTAATAAAAGTAAATTGAGCATCGAAAATTATATGACATCATTTCGTGTTTTTATAATATCTAACTTTTAAATTAATTTAAATTTATTTGAATTGCAAGTTTAATTTATTTATTCTTGTGGCGACCGATACGTAGCGACGTCTAATTCATCGCACTAACATCGCCACAACAATCGATAGCGAGAAGACTAACATCGTCACAGCAATCGATAGCAAGACGAACTGCAAGAAGTTTCAACACCCAGTAACGATATGGCGCTGTACCTATTCAAACATTATAAATTTGGATACTTCAAGGCATTAAGAAAAAAGAAACCTACATCGCCCACATTAAGTTTCATTACCAATTAGCATAATAGAACGTCCAACCTACACCGGTAGGACCGCGGTCCCCGGGCTAACAACACCTAGCTCGGAGGGAGACAATTATCCTTTAGTCTCCCTTGCCAGTTGTCTGTTGTTGTCTTTTATACTAGAATTCGTAACTATGTTTAGTTTATAAGTAATTAACAGCCAAGTAGTATAATCGCCGACCAATTGTGTGACTAATTTACATTAGTGATGAGACAACTTATTGGTTGCTCGTCACTTCAATTGACTCGATTCATCTGATTTCGGGTTTGAAATTGAAACAAAAACCGGAGCGCAGAATTGAGATTGTTATATATTTGCTGTGTTTCCATATTCCATTATTCAACTATACATCGAATGATACCGATATAAATAAGTAGTATATTAAAATAAAAAATGAGAATAATATTATCATTTTTTATTATTTATGGGAGGTTAAATGACAACTTACCTACACGTTTGTACAAACGTCACAACACATTCGTAGATTAAAGGGACATTCGTAGATTAAATATATATCGGATACATATAATTTTTTATTATCATTATCGCCTTTTTACTGACCTTTGTTACTGATTAATGAACCATATTCATTCATGCACCATATATATTATAAAAATATTGTTAATACTTGATGTAGTTTTGTTGCTGTTAGTTCAACTAACAACTAAAATTAACTTACCTAGTTGTTATTACTTTCAAATTTTTGTTAAATACGAGGGTCAAACTGAAAGTTCTTAGAAAATCAAAAACTGATTACATTAGCCAGTTATTAGTTTTATTATATCTTTTCAAAATATTGTCCATTCACGTCAATACACCGCTGCATGCGATGGAACCACTGGGAAAAGCACTTTGCCCACTCGTCCTTAGGGGTCTCTTCAATGGCATCGCGATACGCAGCCACCGCTTCTTCAGCATTCATAAACCGCTTTCCTTTAAGTTTTTCTTTAATTTTTGGAAATAAATAAAAATCACAAGGCGCGAGGTCGGGGCTATACGGCGGGTGACCCAGTAATTCAACGTTTGATGTCGCCAAATAGTCGATCGTTCGCTTGGCGGTGTGCGACGAGGCGTTGTCGTGGTGAAGGAGGATCCTACTGCGAGGTCGTTTCTCTCGAACTTTTTCCAAGACAAGTGGCAAACAATTGGTAGTGTACCATTCTGCAGAAACTGTTTTTTGATCCTCTAACACAATTGTTGCAAAATGACCTATCCTTCCAAAGAACGAGGCCACCATTTTTTTTCCCGCACTTCGATCTCTCTTCACTTTAGTTGGCAACTCCTCGAAAGGAAACACCCACTGAGCAGATTGTCTTTTGGTTTTAGGATCATAACAGTAAATCCAGCTTTCGTCACCTGTTAGTATGTCGAACACAGCATTTGAGTCACCTCCGTTAAATCTTTCAATCATTTTACGACACCAATCCACACGATGGAGTTTTTGAGCCTCAGTCAAATTATGAGGTATCCACCGGGCGCAAAGCTTCCTGACCGCTAAATGTTCGTGGAGGATTTTGTGCACTTGACTCATACCGATGCCTAAGCTTGTCCGAATCTGTTGATAGGTCACTCTTTTGTCAGTCTCTATCATACGCCGCACAACACAGATGTTATCTTCAGTCGTCGCCGTAGAAGGCCGTCCCTCACGTAAATCATCAGTGAGATTAGTGCGACCACGTTTAAACTCATTAAACCAGTTGTAAACAGTCGCACGAGATGGGGCTTCATCGTGAAAGGCCAATCGTAGTCTATCATAACTTTCTTGTTGACTTAAATGACATCGAAAGTCATAAAAAATCATTGCACGAAAATTTTCTCGTGTTAAATTCATGATGACGTGACACAGACAATTTTCAATTTGCCGCCAAATCGTAAAACAAATGACAAATGAATGAAATATATACTCAGTAATATTGGCAAAGAGTTATATTTTCAAATTTTAGAATTATTTTTTTATTATATTGTTTATAAGTGGCCAGTTCTAAGAACTTTCAGTTTGACCCTCGTATTATTATGAAACATGCCTAGACCTGCCTTACCATATGTATTTTAATTTTAAAAAACTATATCATAATGTTAATTTATATACCATATTGAAATGCTACTTTTATAATTTCATAGCAATAATGAATAGATTTCCATAGCTTTTAATTCTCCATGCTCATTTACCTTTAAATTAGTTTTCATTTTCGTTTTCATCGTACTAATCAAGTTGCGTTTAACTTGAATCAATGAGGAAGTATTTAAAAATATTAGTTCCTGAAATCAAACTAGATGTCGCCATGGTACTTACATGGTATTTCTCCATGACGACCCTTCCGATTTTCTTTCATGTATAAAGTGAATTAATTTTCTAAACTCAACAAACAACACATATTATATTTGTATTTTGTCGTATTTGTATTGATTTCTAAGTTTCGGACTTTGCAAATTTCAGTTTTTTAATATGTTAATTTAAAGGAACGGAATTGACTATCTTTGGTCCATTCGTTTCCTGCAAATATCAACTTTTGGTAAAGCCGCCATCTAGTGAGGTATTTTTATAATTCTTTTTTTTTTAAATACTTCCTCATCCATTTAAATTTATACTGCCATCTAGTAAAAAAAATTGTAGTTTCTTTATTTTTTTTAATACTTCCTCAACAACCGTGAATGCCAACGAACGTGTGGCAGCGACAGGATAGTGAACGCCAAATCTTCTTCATTGATTGAATTGGCCGCATTCTACTCTTTGAGCCGCATTGACAAAGGGTTGTTACAAAACTGTGCTTATTCCTAGAGTTGAGGAAAATCATTTTGTTACTACTAAACTCAACGACCATTCAAACCAAATAAAAAACAATAAATACTTCCTGTTATTGCATGATTAGCAATAGACAGCAAGTAGCTACACCATGTGACTGAGATGCATTCACTCTTTGCACAATATTATTAAATAAATCGTGATTATTATAATAAAACAATACACAACAGTTTTTATATGCGTACCTACCTAATACCTACCAATAACGTTAATCGAATAATTGGTTGTGGGCTGATTGTGACATGGCATCGTTACAACTATGATTGTAACTATTTTGTTGTAGCAACATTGTGGAGGTGAGCCATCGCCCTGCTAACTGTGTCATGGCGGTTTGACTTGTTAAAAGTTTTTTTTTGCAATAACTCACTAGTTAATGTGCTTTTTAGCAATTTGATCTTTGATTTACATAATTAATATAACGTCATATAACATAGTTAATAATGCGCGAATACAAAATAGTCGTGTTAGGTAGCGGAGGCGTGGGAAAGTCTGCCCTTACAGTACAGTTTGTACAAGGTATCTTTGTGGAGAAATACGACCCCACCATAGAGGACAGCTATCGAAAACAGGTGGAAGTCGATGGCCAACAATGCATGCTCGAAATTTTGGACACCGCTGGTACAGAACAATTCACCGCAATGAGAGACCTGTACATGAAGAATGGACAAGGTTTTGTGTTAGTGTACTCGATCACAGCACAGTCGACATTCAACGATCTTCAAGACCTGCGAGAGCAGATCCTGCGAGTAAAGGATAAGGACGACGTACCTATGGTCCTAGTGGGCAACAAGTGTGATTTGGAGGCGGAACGCGTGGTCGGTAAGGAACAGGGCGGGAATCTAGCACGCCACTTCAACTGTGCGTTCATGGAGACCTCGGCGAAAGCTAAAATCAACGTCAATGATGTTTTTTACGATTTAGTACGACAAATCAACAAGAAGTCGCCCAAAGAGGAGAGAAAAGTAAGGAAGAATCGAGTGTGTCGTCTCCTGTAAGTGTCGCAGAGCCTCAGACGCGTCTAGTTATACAATATTTAATAATTTGAAAGACTTCTCGTACCCGGATTTGGCTCTCAACAGTTCCCAAAGTTAACTAGGTCCAGGTGTTAAGCGTACAGCTTTGTTGCACCTGTAGCATTTTGTTGAGCTGTGTCGTGATCCAGTGCTGATGAAGCACGAGTTGAAAATGCACAGAGCATCGTGAATATATCCTCATTCTTATCCCTTTTATTACAAATCTGATTCTTTGTTTTTAAAGTGCAGTACGCTCAAGGATAGATTCAACGATTCTGTGTGTGTTTCACTCTAGAAATTCCAAATGTAATGAGTGAATGCTGTTAGGTTCAGAAGTTAAATAGTTATTGTATTTGATTCTGTGGCAATGGTGGCCATTTTCAATATATATTATAGAATAATATTCTTCAATAGGTAAATGACATGCAATAATTATAATAATTCATTTATCTAATAATTGTTGATTAAAGATGTAGTTGTCATGGACCAATAATTTAGGCCACATCCAAATGTCATCTCTTCAAAACTAACTAATGTTGTTCTATTAATAATGCCAATAACAATGCTAAGTTCAGCCAGTATAATATGTCATGCCTTGAACAGGAAAGTGACAACGGGTAATTTACCATGACATTATCTTTCAAGGACATTCAAATAAACTTAATTGTTACACTGTTTTTATCCATTTTATAAATTTGTCTACTGTAGTGTTAATTGTTGAATCCATTTATTATAAATATGTATTTTACTATCAAAACGATTCATCATTCTGTCTGAACATAGCGATGTGCTAAAACGTGATTTATTTTCTAGTTGTCTAGTATTGTATTGATTGCACTAATTATAACGAGAGCCTCAACTTCTGAACACTTAGAATGAAAGTTGAATTAGCAGGCTCCGAACGGAGCCGAGATATGTGCCAGCAGGCCTGAACCAGCATGTAAGTAATGTTTAAATAATTAAGGATACATTAAATTTTTTCAGATATATTATTGTCTTGTTATATAATTAAATTGTATCGAAGGGAAGTTTATAAATGCAATGCGCCATTTAGGACTTGGTAACCTTTGAACAAATTAGTGAGCCTTAGGTGAATGCACCTTGCTGACTTAGTGTCTTCAGTGTCTACCTAGAGTCCTTATGCCTACGGTGGCCTAGGGCTGCCGGCATCTTGCAATGGACAAACCCTCGCCTATGAAATTGATAACTTTAAAAAAATATCGTTATTGTAAATGGAAGAATAAAGTTTTATGGTTACTGGCTCATTTAAATATAAATTACCTACCTAAGTTTTGCTGCTACAAACTTTGTTAAAATTAATTATAATTATAGGTGTTCATATGTCCTTATGGAATTAGATATTTCCTCCATTTGCATTTCTGTTAACTTGTAAGATTACTGCACAAGGATATTGGTAAATGACTTTTGATCTGAGTTGAATTATATTTTTATATATTGTGCAAATTAAGATACTTGTATATTTTTATCTTTTGCAATCAATAATCGACATGTACATTAACTATTAATTTCTTTTTTTTTTGCAAATTTATCAATAAAACAAATTTTAAATGTTTTGGGGTATGCTTATCGCCCGGCAAGCGTTGCTCGTGCGCCGCCCCGCGGCCCTCCTTCCATCGCATGACTCATCCCAGACCCGCGGGGCCGTACTGTCCCCTCGACACACTAAACTAACTTCAATTGCTTCGGCGGCCTAATTGAATTCAATTAATTGAAACAACAATTACCAGTCTACAACTATTTTATTTTACTAGACAAGTGTATAAAGTTCCATAAATCGTGATTCACTTATCAACTATTTATAAATAAATTAAACAATAGTGTTATTATTTAAAAAACTCTTTAAAAACTAAACATTGGCAGTGTGACGTGGCGGGCGTATGTCGACATTCTAGTAACATAAGAATTGACACAGTCCAATGGAATCAAACAATACCAAACGACCTACCTACAATCAAAACTGCTATGATGCAAACAAGTGTACGGTTACTAACTGATGTCACGGCCCATGATGTGAAGCAAGGTCTAATATATAGACCATGCTCACTATTGGGACGGATGGGATATAAACAATATACAATAATGAACTTCTAAATCGAAAGCTTTATAATACGGGATATATATATGTATGTATATGTATATTAATCAACATACAATTGCGACATCTGGGGGAATTCGTATCACGGAAATGACGGTCGAATTTGATAATGCCCATGTTTACTATTATTACAAGATAGTGTGGACGCCCTGGCGTGTGTCGCTATCGTCGGAACTTATCATTTTGCTTACAATAGGGTCTGCTCGACATTTATGTAGGCGAAACACCTGCTTTCCAAATGTTTTAAGTACTTCTGTCATTTCATTATTGCACACAACTTATTGATAAAAATATATTATATATAGATATTATCACAAGAATAATATATTTTATGATAACTGTACCGATAAGCGGCATCCAAAATTTTATTACTTTGTTAGAGGTACACAGTGTAGGTGTATAATTGTAAACTACTTTTCTAGACGCGTAAGGTGTAGGATTATAACAGTTTAATCAAAGGTCAAGTTAAATTTTTGATAATATAAATAACAATCTATTGATCAATAATTTTATTATTCTTACCAGTGTGTATTTTACATTTAAATGACATACAACTTGGTAAACTTAAAAATTTGATTTTATTTTACGTTTTCATAAGACTTAAGGCGGAGAATGTGACAAGTTATACAATAATATTACTTCTAACTATGTGGAATATAAAATTTATGTTATCACACGTGTTGGACGGACTAGAGGCAGTGACTAGTGTATAACTCGGGTGTGATTATAATAGTACCGAGCTACTATCTCATAAATATTTATTACAATCAAAATTATCCTATCGCATTCAGTTAATCTCAGCTGTTCTCAACACTCGCAAGGAAACAATTGCTTAATTATTAAATTACACATACATATTCTAAACGCACATCATACTTCAGTGTTGATTCATAATTATATATTAAGCTCGTTTACATAAAGACCATACAATTACATCATTTATATTGAACAATGGACACAACCTTATTTGTAAATCTGTTAATTGCTCTACCAAAAAATAAACTACAGTAATTATGCAATACACGTTCTAATCTGATTATTTCGTTTTATATTCATAGGTGAATTATATGACGAAGTAGCTTTTTAAAAGTCCTTATGACTAGCATCTTTTACTGTGATTATACATAGAAGTCACCGTGAGGCGTACGAGACCACCGTGCCCTAGCTGACCAACCGGTTTCTTGAAAGTGACTCATATGGTATAAAACGATACTTCCGCTTCCGACAATCGTTCGACCTTACGGCGCGTGAATCAGAGAACAGATTTTTATTGACCTGATTCACATCGGTGTGTAAGATGACAATTATTTAGAAAATTACTAATCTATCCTAAAATATGAACAAATCTTGTTTTATTTGTATTCGTCAATCTTTGGAGCTATCAGGTAGTTTTGGAAAACGATTGATATTTAGATTTCGACGGTGCAGCGATTAGCGGGTTCGGTCTACAATTGTCGATATTAAGCAACTCGTAAGGGCCGGTCATGGGATGGGTGACCAAAATATATTAACGGAACAGCGCTTCATACTTCAGAAAGCACCCAATCTGTTCCGCACTGGGTCCGGTAGCCTGAACCTGCTAATGTGATTCTATCTCTAATGATGACCAGTGCCGCAGTAATAAGAGTAGGAAATTAAAAGCTGATAATGGCATTATTTTACATGCACTGAGCCCTTAAGAAACCACGGAGCTGTCACTAGAAAAGTTGTCATTGCCGTTGATGCCATTCACAGCCGTTTATGGCATAAAACTACATTTCTAAATAAAAGTAACTGTTGGGAACAGAAAGTTATATAGCTATAAGAAACCGTCAACAGCTAAACATGTTTAAACGTATGGTAAGTGTTACTCTGTTATCTTTGACGATCTGTCTTTATATGAGCTGTTATTAATAAGTTCATTCATACTACACTACATTCACCTGTTTAAATAAACCATTGCTTACGAAAAAACTAAGTTTATTTCTATATAAGCATCTAATCATGAAACCGAACACATTTGTTTATTCATACATCGTATTTTTAAATAATCACTTCTTTTTAAATATAAATTTAGACAAAGTCTCATATATTAAATTAAGTAGCTAAAGCATTATCGAAATTTGAAACAAATAAGATAATACACCCAGACATTTTCTATATTCTGAATCGAACCCGGGGCACCTATGAGATGACGACGCCGCTCTGCTACTGGTCTTAAAAGGTACATAAGAAGTGATCGAGTAAGTGGAATTTCAAAATTAAAGTTTATTTAGCACTTACAATATGTAAACTTACTATGAATACAAAAAAAATCTGTATCATACAATATTGTACCGTCAACCACACTTCAGGTTATACAACAAATCCATACAATTGCTAGTATACTGTAATAAATTAAAAAATCAATTGCAGAAATTCGATATGTTGTGGTAATCTGAGCTTATCACGCCTATAAAAAATGCGAATCTTAATCGTGCATATCTATTTTTTTATCGAATAATAGTGCACGTTAACTCTATTGCATTATAGGAACTTTATCTGAACAAATAACAAGGATTGTGCCAGCTATAGGCACGCCACTATAAAGATTTTTTTTTTTTTAAATAAATACGCACATACGAATAACTTAAAACTGAATTTTCTTTGACCGTCAAAATAATAGGCTGATTTCTGACAGAGATAGGCAAAATATAAACCTGGCTAACGATTACATTTCCTAAACATCAATTGAAGATTACATGTTACAGATTATCATGAATTAATAATTATTAAATAATAATTTAAATTCATTAATTGTAACATAATCCACAATGTAGTATTATATTTTATATATCTATTAAATACACAAAGATCAACTCTGCGCCGTCATTGTATATATGCATTTTGCTAGTCATCCGTGATTGCTCCCGTGAGATTTCAGGATGTCTCTAGCGGACGCAGGGTCTAAGTTTCAATGTAAGTGCACTTATATCTATATCCAGAATTGGATATTATTTTCCAAAATTGTGTTCCTCGATTTGAAATACTCGAAATACTTTAGAATTAGTAATAATGCTAAATAACGTTAAGTTCAAATAAGTAAGTATGCATTATAGTACTTATTAAATATAGTGTATTATTTTTTAGACTCTCCTACAAAAGGCAAATTAAAGCCTAGACATTAGCCTACATAGGTCACTAATCTATCGATTTAAGTCCTGTCCCCGTGACCTACTTCACTCGTGGGTGAGCAATTAATTCCTCTCATAACAACTACATGCGACAGAAACTATTTCTAATATTGTTATAAGATGACATTTAAAATTGTATTTTGTGTTAAATTAAATTTATCATAAACATCAGTAGCAACTCTGGTGTACTACTCCGTTCGATACCACAGCTCGAATTTCCGATTGTATGTGGCGGCCCTTAAGGCCCTGTGAAGGTCACAAATTCTATTAACATTCCTCAGACTATTACTAACACTGATTGATAAATAAACCGACTGAGTTGTGATCATCAAATATACTCGTACTTATATTTTGGATCTCTAGTTAAAAACATTAAGAACTGCTGCTTCTAACTTAACTAAGAAATTTGTGATTTTAATTTGTCTGTATGTGCACAGCACACGATAAATTGCAATAACATATACATCGCTTTATCTGTACCCAAAGTCAATAATATTTCCATATAAATCTAGTACAAAAACGCGTGTCACACACTCCTACAGAGCTTAAAAGCAGATTATAACATTAGTACACTTTATCACTTGTGCTCATTAGTCATAAAACAATTCATAATACAGATACAAATAGGCTGACTCATCAATGAGACAAACAATTTTGTGTAAATTGATTTCTTAACAAATGAACAATTCCAGTAGGATCATATTAAATTAAAATTTAAGA